TGGCGAGGTGGCGGTGGTCTTGCAACATGTGGTTACCCTCAATTTCAAGTGATCTATAGTAATAAAAAAAAGTTTGAGGAATTCTGTTCTATTATAATTTAATTAGTAACTACTAATGAAGTTATCATAGAACAGTATTTCTCAAGGTTACCAAAAAGGGTTAACCTTGAATGATGAAGATAAGACTTCTGATTTCAATCTAAATTGTATATTGGTTTGCCATTTACGGAAAAATGCAAGGGGACAAGTTTTTTCAAGTGTTAAATCGTTCGAGGCTGTCTAGGAAATCCAGAAATATATACTTGTTATAAGTTTGTCAAGACCAAACCAGATGGAGTGAAGGCTATGAATAAAAAAAAAAGTGATTCCATTCACTCCTATTCCAGAATGGCTATCTACTTTCAATATTCAGTGACTAGGTTATACGAGCCATGTGTAACTGGGGTTCAGTGGTTGGGTGGTTCTGGCTTCCGAGAACCTGGGAGGTGAGGGAGCAAGTCTGAGTCGCAGTGGCTTCTTCCTCTGCCACGGTCGACCCTTCTTTCATGAATAGTGTCTACTTAGCATGAAGTAAAACGCACACCACTCTGGGTGCCACATATAGGAGATACGGGTGCAGTACACCTTAAAAACCACTCACGCCAGTCATGGGCTTAGGCAACTTGTGAGCTGCCCTTTTGGCCTTCCATAGGACCATCAATGGATGTCCCAGCCTGAGCGACTGTGATTTGAATGTGGTGCCCGTGCCCAGCGGACACCTCTTCCTCTCTGTGTACATGATGTGTCTATTGTCGTTAGTGTCCGCTGCATGTCCTGTCTTTAAAAAATTAAAGTGTACATTACACACTTCAATAAATCAAAAGTATATATTAAATAATTTAGAAAGGGACGATGTTTAGTGTGACATGTACCAAACAGATAACGTTAATGTGTAATGGAATGATCGCGCGTCGTTTGGCAATTTTTTCCCACGAGGCAGTGTGTAACGCAAGATGCCGCAAGTTCGCTTGACCTTAGAGCAACGTAAGTTAATTTTGAAGTGATACTGGTAATCTGAGAACACTTGTGAAGTGCAAAGAAGGTGGAGGAATGAATTTGCAACTGCGCCACCAACACGATTAAAGCTTTCGCGAATTCGTGATAAGTTTTATGTTAATGGTACAGTGCAAGTCATGCACAAGCAACGTTCTGGGAGTCCTCGCACATCAACGGGTGAGGACAATGCTGCTGTTGTGATGCAAGCATTCACACGATCGCAAGAAATTGAGGAGTCCTGCGCTGCTATCCCAGCAGAAACCTGTCCACGAGTTTGTCGCTCTGTTGCTCACCGCTGTCAACGGTGCCTGGATGCTAACTGTGAACAATTTGAAAATTTGCGGTAGTGAACCATGTGATTCAAACCCTTGCTTCTCCACACACTAAACATCGTGCCTCTGCATTATTTAATATATTGGGTTGGAAAGAAAGTCTTGCAACACTGCGCAAATTTTTCTAAATTTTATAACTTTATTGAAATGCAATTTGAGTCTACAATGTAATGACCATTGTTGTCTATGACATGTTCCCAACGCACGGGTAACTGCTCGATGCCCTTTGCCCAGAACTCTGGCGATTGCGAAGCGAAGAAACGGCCGACATCATTTTCGAGCTGTGCTCGATCGTCGAAGGCCTTGTCCCGCAGGTGATTCTTGAGGGCCCGGAACAAGTGATAGTCGGAAGGGGCCAAGTCCGGAGAATACGCTGGATGGGGTAAAACTTCCCAGCCCAGTTCCGAAATCGTCTGGCGAGTCATCTTCGCAACATGTGGACGAGCGTTGTCATGCAGAAGGAGAACTTTGTCGCGTTTGGGACGCTCTTTTTGAATGACGCCAGCCAACTTCTGAAGTCGAGCAGCGTAGACGACGGCAGTCACGGTGGTACCGGTTGGCAGGAGCTCATAGTACAACATTCCTTCTGAATCCCACCGACAGCAGAGAAGAACCTTCTTCTCGTGGAACCCTGGTTTCGGTTCGTGTGGCGGCAATTCTCCTCGTGGAAGCCACTGACTCTTGCGAGTATGGTCGACGTAGAGGACCCAGCTCTCATCTCCAGTAACGATTTCCTTCAGAAGGTCCTTTCTGTGCGGACGAAGGAGCAGTGATTCGCAGACACTGACACGGCTTGCTTTGTCAGAGTCGCCGAGCCGATGAGGGACCCATGTCGAGTAAACCTTCCGATAGCCGAGGTCGTTCAGATGGTTGCCGATGGCCATATGGGTGACTCCAAGTGTAGTCGCCAATTCGCCAGTGGTGGCGTTCGGCTTCGCGTTGAGGGCGTTCCGCAGGGCTTCGTCAGAAAGTGTTGCAAGGCTTTCTTTCCAACCCAATATATATTTAATTTATTAAAGTGTGCATACATTTTTTGAGACACCCTGTATACATAGATCGTCCAGTGCTATGTTCCATCAATTTCACTAACATTGCCTGTTTTTTTGCAGCTGCAGGATTGTGCAGGTGTTTATGCACAATATCTTTTTTTTTTAAACTATTATACTTGAAGGTTGAGGAGCACGAAACGACCAACTCAAAGAGGATGGAATTAAAAGTTCATTCCCTTATGTTTCTATATGTGAATGTCTTTCTCAAGGGAAAATATGTTCCTGAGGTACGTTTTTGAACCTTAACGTAGAGACTGAAAGAAGATATAGTGAGTCAAGTATAAGATGTCATTGTTCAGTCCCAACGTGTGAGTTCTCCATTCGATGATCTTATTGAGTTCTTCCAGTCTTTGTATTAGGCTATATACTGTAAGGTTTTTTGCCTCTCCACAAAATTAGTGAAGCCCTATCCATAAACAAAGGGGGAGTTTGTCAACGGTACCTACAAGGTGGGGACCTTAAGGGGAAATTCTTAAATGTTAAATGAACAGAAGTGAAAGTAGGGCTATCGCAATAGATCGATGCATCGATAGTACTATCGATGGTTGAAGGTATCTGAAGGCTGTTTTTTTTTTTTACCATCGCGATGTATCGGCAAAGGATTTCAACCCCAAAATGCATGATTTTTCTAACTGTACCAAAAACGTTTTTGACGATAATATTTTTTTCATGTGGTTGAGAAAAATAATGAAAAAATTATCCTTTCATTTTGGTTTTTCCATTGTCTTGCATTACGTTTCAGTGCAAAGCAGAGCGTGCCATATCTGGCACACCATGCTGTGTAGGGTTAAATGGGAATGTCCCATTGGAATGAGGCGAGTACATTACAATACAGTCCGTCCGTGCGGGGAAAGGAAGAGGCGGCGTGACCCGCATGGGCTTGCAATTTCTTATACGATCAAATTCTGGAAATGCTGGGACTGACTACGAAAAACGGGAAGAAGAAAAAGATCGGTATAGATCATTGGCGACGCTATAGATAGTGGATCTCCTACAAGGGACATCGTCCTGAAACTTGAAGTTCGTTGAGCTACCTCTAAATTTCAACCGATTGAGTCGAAAATTTGCATGCCCTATTCCTTTGGGATATGTACAAGAATGGGAGGGTAAGGCTTGAATATTTAAGAAAATAGTTTTTTTTTGGACCACCCTAGTGGACAGTTCTTATACTCCCTTGCTTTAAAAAACATACATTGGTTAATCCCCCTCTCAATATTCCTGTCTCTCTATATGTAGTATGCAGGCTTAAGTTTTTAAAATACTTAACTTGCCGTGGGGCATTTTATCTCTTTACTTAAGGTGAACCCAAAGTGAATATTTTTACATGGACGTTGCATATTCCAGGCCTGTACCGACGTTTCGGCAACCGCTTGTATGGTACCATAGGCAGGTTTGCTATCTGCCGGTGCAGATGTCCAAAGAAGACTATGTAAAACGAAAAAGTAAAAAAAATTACGTTAATGGGCCTGGCAACTGATTCTCAATGGCAATAAGAAAAAATTAGGGCTGTCCTGATACATCCATCGATAAATGGATATCATCTTCGATAGTTAGAGGCACGGTAGGTTTCATTACTCGTTGCGAAGGTCACACCTTCCCCCCACACCCCCGATCATAAGCGTGAGATTATGGAAGGATGGAGGTCTGCACTCTGATCAAGGCAAGAAATGATGGAAGTCAAACACCCAATCGCAGTGAGAAAAGATCGAATCCTCCAGCGTACCCCCTCCCCCCCCCCCTTCGATGCATCAATACAATATCGATAGTTAAGGTCGATACATCGATGTTTTGAAAACTGCTATCGCGACAGCAAGTGAAAGGTATATGTGGAGGAACATTATGGAAATGTGGAATAAGGAAAGCTAATCTGTTTGCCAGAACTCAAAGAGAGTAGAGGATGGGAGGGGGCATTTGCCTTCATTTGGCATTTGCCTTCCAGTCCCCCCCCCCCCCCCACTTCTTATGCTCTTAATTGACAAATGCAAGAATGCTTGAAAGAAAGTCACTCATGTTGGGTGCTCATGCCCTCATACAGAAGGTTGTTCTCACCAATGTTGGTTCATCAGGGGAGACAAGGTTTCAACTTTTCCCTTCATAAAATACGTTCAAAATTTGTGGCAACTTTTGGCCTGGAAGTCCAACTGAAATTTACAGGTCCTTCTCCAATGGCACTCAGACAATGATGATAATGTGCAATATGATGAATAAGAAATAGACAAGGGACCGGTGGGACAAAATTCTGAAATTCATTTCAAGTCTCCAGTTAGGCACTTGGCCTCATGAGCAATACAGGCCTGAACTTCATCACATTTCACAACTCACTCAGTGAAAATCTGCATCATCTATCAGAGATCTTTTTTGTTCATAAGGCTTACATGGTATATAAAAGCACTTGAATTCATACTGGCACTTCTTTCATGGGCAAAAACCACAGTACCAGTACTCTGAAACTCAATTACAGCATGAACAAGTGCAAACCTTCATCTGAAGCTCAGCAAACCATCACAACTGGAACATCTGGATGGCCACACTCAACAGGAATGACAGCACAGAAGTAAAACACATCTCAGGAGAACTGAATTCTGATGGTGTGTTGGTCTGAGGTAATGCAAGTCCCATTTGGCTCCACTACAAGGGAACTCCAGTGCTATTTGCATGAAAAATATGACAACATAATTAAGGTGAACAAGCATATCAACAACTAAAGTTTTCCTCAGAAAATGAGAGGCTGTTTCATGCATATCTGCATTGTACAATGAGATTCTAAAATGCTTGCTTGCCCCAAGAGTTTCCATCCAAAATATAACAATACTCCAGCACGATAAAGGTAGCTCCTAAAGCTTGAGACACCAATAATCTCCAGAAAGTCATGTACAACTGGGATGAGAATAGTTTTATGAAGAGAAGAATACTTGGAAAACAACCAAGTCAGTTTACAATGTATTTCAGAAAAGCAATGAATTATGACTAGTTAAAGCATATTCACTCAATGATTTCCAGATATCTGTTGAGACAAATTTAAGTCTACCCTCTACTCAACAAAACTAGTCTCATGACTCTCTGACCAGCAAAGTGCAAATTATATGTTAGATCAGATCTAAATTTGACTCAATACCCACATACAAGACTGAAGCACTGAATATGACTAGAGAAGAAGAATGAAATACATGTTAACCAGATCTCAGTGGACCACTTCTTGCCAAAATGAATAAATTGATTACTCTTCAAAACATCTGTCCAGAGAAGCCAAAGGGTTAAATTTGCTGTCAATATGATGCATACACACACACACACACCCTACCCAGAGAGGTTAAGTAATCTTTGCCACACAGACCTCATATCTTCAGTTACTCAAACTAATTTCACCAAGAATAATCCTACATTCACTTCAGTTTATATAATTGTATATAGCAAAAGTGGTAGGTTTCTTCCTAAGAAGAAGCAAAGCGCAAAGAAAAGTTATGATTAAGGCAACCAATATTACGCCTCAGAACAACTTCGAGGTTCTTAATCAAAACTGAGAAATACCAGGTTTAGTAATGTAACAGGTTCATAGTTCTATCTCAAAAAGGACACAAACCAATAATTGCTACCAATAATTGCTGTTACTATATTGTGACAGTGTACCATACTTCTCAAGCTCTGTGAATTTCCCATGTAAAGAATAAGTACCATGCAAACAGAGTAGGAGTAAATTCTTAATCATGAATAAAGAATGTGAAGGTCCTGCATCATGTTCAAGTATGCAATGAGTGATGGAAGCACTTGATGGCAAAACAGAAGTCATAAGCACATTGGAAAAACTATCACTCTCTTGACTCATAAGACCAATACCAATCTGAATATTTGGAGACAGAAAATTTCCTCATGAAAGCTCTACCAAGCCAACAAAAAAAGAGAATATTGAAACCATCATGAACAGACATGACAACCAGTATCTCTTCCTGTACCACAAAAAAACGAGAAACTTTAGGCCTATGCAACTCAACCTTGGTACAGTCATAGTTGCCCTACCAAGTCATTTCTGAAACAAACATCTTTTTTACTGTCTCCTTACAGCAAGTGAATGCAGAGTTCTTCCCCTCTGTGCTGGGGATAACTTGATTCATGATAGATGTTTGAACTTCCCAAGCACTCACCATGGTTCATGATACAAAAGAAAAGGCTTCTATTCAAGTGCAAGGGAGTATTCAAGTTTCCAAAACAACCGACTAGATTCCATTTGCCCTGTCTGGCTTGAGGAAGGCCACACCAACTTGAAAAGATATGAAGATACATCATGGGACAGCTGAGATACCAGACCACATTAATATCCTTTCCCTTGGTCCTACAAACTGGAGGAAAAAAATGGAAGACAGACCAGACAGTGTGAATGCTAGCTGCCTGTTGCTTTCATGGGAGCTTGATACAGAGATGATACAGGGATCACAGGTGAATGATGCATGGGGAGGTTGCTCACTCCTGGGATGTAGTTTTTGAGAGTGTCATCAATGAGGGCCACCAGTTTTGCAAGATCAGCCTGGACAAAACAGTTGACAGATATGTCACACAGAGTGTGGGGAGTGCAGATGATGTTCCCTGAATGTCATGAAGGAGAATAAAATACTAACTTCATTGATGAGGCCATAATGTACCAGTTCATTTGCAAGGATAGCTGCTGTCTCATTTGGCATCACATCACATGTTAGCTGACGATTCATGTTGTCATCCATCCTCAATAAGATTGTCATCTAAAAGAAGTCACATCAGTCAGGAAATGCTAAGCAGTAGGAATTATCAACTTCAACTGAGCTCTTTATTCCAAACCAATGAGGGTGGTGAACACACCGAGAGTGCTACCCTGTCTGGAGTGGATTTCACATTGCACATCATGTTTATGATACGCCTGTTCTCCACATCCTTAGGCACTGGACTGTCAGATGACTTCACAGACTCAGATGATTCAGGGGAAGTTGCTCTTGTTCGAGGTAGGGGCCCTTGAGAGAGGGCAAAGGCTGTCAATGGATAGATACCAAACCTGAAAAAAAATCAGAACCAGAACCAAAACCTTTGTATCCTCCAATATTACTTTGTCAGAGTGGTCCCATATCAACATCTTGCTGTAACATCATATGCAGAACTTTAATGTATAGTACTCACTTTACGTCCTCTATGAACTTCTCAAGCTTTTCAATGACTGGAATATCAGCAAGCGTATAGGTAACTCCTGTCCTTCCATCAGGATGTGAAATCTCAGCAATAGGTTTTTCTGGGCCATAATGCTTCTGCACAGCTTCATCCACAACAGATTCAGGGGTGAACCCTGAAAAGCAAGTCACTCTAAGTCAAGAAAAAATTAATTTTACATATTACATATATATTAACTAGATCATATTAAAGTAATTTCCAATTTTATCAAAACAAAACTCACTTGCAGATCTCAGGAGTGCATGAGCAGCAAGGAGTTTTAGGGAATGAACTTCAAAGAGAATGGGATGGAAGAGCAGTTGCCTTGCGGAAGGTCTGAGCTTCGGCTCTTTCTGCAGACACTGACGAATGAGGTCTTGCTGCAATGGATTTTCCAGGGAAGCCAATGTCCTATTTAGGTGTTCTTCTGTTATTGGTCCTCCAGCAGACTGAGATGAAGATGGTGGTGGAGGTAAGCTCAATGGGTTCTGGGATGAACCTGATGTAGGTGTCCCAGGATTCCCTTGTGACTGACACCCATCTCGGTCACCATTCATCCCATAGATACCAAAAGTTGCCATTTCTAAGGCACACCATCCGAAGGAATAGATGTCCATGGCTGGAGTCATTGGCCCACCTACAGTTAAAAATATAAACTGTCCAGTCATTGGAAAACTCAAACCTGAAGTTCTCCTGCACTGCAAAGCTAACAGATGAATAATATGATTCATTAAAGCTAACAAACAAGGAGGATATGATATGGCATGAGATTGTGAAGCTATGTCATATTTACAAACCAGTGGCTCTTGAAACAATTGAAGGATAAAGCAGAATTTCAAAATCATTCATAATGTCTCAAGATAGTTTCTGAATTCACCTAATGAAATATACTGATGACTGCAACTGCTGTAATAGTGAAGATTCAAAGAAAATGTGATTTAGGCATCCTAATGTGATATATGCTATTGTCATCTCTTTCATACAAGATTTAAGATGAATTAGTTTGATTAAGTATAATTTGGGTATGTCAGCAATCTATGACTTGAAAAGATTTTTAATGAAGATGTCAAGCCAAATAGAACTGCTCACTCACTGTTGCCATATTCAGGTGCTACGAAGTACATGTTGGTCATATTATTTCGACATGTCTTCACGTGGTAATGAATGGCATCTGGAGCAACTGCAAAGAGAAGAATCATAACCTCAAGTGATCAGGTCATCATGACTTGATGTCCTCCATAAATATAAAATATGCTCAGTCCAATTTCAAGGAAAAATGTTCAAGAAGCACTTGACTTTAATTCACCTGCTCTATCAGATGAACACATAAAAACCTATCAATTCCATCTGCATCCATCTCTCTCAGGCATCCCCTCTCTCATCTGTGAAAGATGCTACTTTGTTCAAGATGTTTCAATGTGGTCTAAATACTTAATGCTGTCAATTCTGAAATGAGAGGGCTTAATTAATTTTTTTGCATCAGCATTTCAACCTTATCTACCATTAAAAAATGCCTAAGTGTCAGTTGGAATATAAAAAAATAAAGCTCAAATGCTGAAACCTCCTTTAGTTGATGGTCCTTTAAGAATACATAGATTCCTATGGAAAAATTAGCTCTTTAGCTTAAAGGCCTCTTTAGCTCCCCTAAACGAGGTTTGTGCATTCAGGTCTTATACTTTAGACTTAGAGGCATGGGGAATGAGAAAACATGTACAAATACGTGCAAAAAAATTAAGAAAAATATCTGCAATCCATTGTTACAAAAAAATAAAAAGTCCCTTAAGCAATCAATCAAATATGATGTTGATTGAGGGAAAAAAGAGGGAGGAACTGAAGTGGCTCATAATGTTGCTGCAATCAGACTTTTTGTTACCTACATTTTCCAAACTCATTTCAAACTCGAGGGTGTCTGTGTCTGGATTTTGTCCATGAGATAGAATTGTGAGGAACATGACAATATGGGTGGCTGCTTGGGATAACAAGATGGATAAATAAACCTTACACTTTTACAGTCTGATTCCAGAGTAAACAAAGGCTATTTTGCAGTTCACAAGGAACTGCAAGGCAGGAAGCACATTATCAGAGGAGATGGAGAATGTCTATTACAATGTTGAATCTCCTGGAAGCTATGGAGGTGTACATGCCTTCTATGGGAATGTCAGAGTAGGAGGTACAGGTAAATGTATCTAAAGACCAAGTTCAGCAATGGCTTCAGACTACAATAAAAGGTTTAGGAAGTCCAGTTTTGTAGCTTGCATGCAAATGCCACACAATGAAAAGCATGAGTTTGAAACTGCAAAGACATTAGACAGTGATAGGCCATCAAAGAATGACTGTCTTAACCCATTTTAGTCTACTCATCTGTAATAAGAGAACCCTGCAATCATATATGGAATGTCCACTGGAATTTGCAGGATTTGAAACTGTTGAAATTATAGTAAATATGCTTGAATCAGCATGAAACTTTGTAGCACGTGCAGGAAGTCTCCAGTTATGATGGAGACAACAGATTGTCAACTACTGATGGTAGCTGACAGTTAAGCAGTAGCAGATCTTATATTGCTTCATATATGACTGATGCCATGCTGATGACAACTCTAGAGAATGTCCAGTGTAAATTTCCTAAATTTGATTCACCAATTACTGTAACCCTTGGGTTTCAAGTCTTCAGGATGATGCCTCCATGAATGAACATTTCTGATGCACAAGAACCTTGCTTGGTCAGGTAAGTACTTATGGAGCATCTGCACAATGTCATGGTTGCCTTCAAAAGTAGACTGCAAAAACAGGATTTCCTTTCAGGGCCAGGAAGTGAAGACTGTATGAAACTTATTTGACCACTGCATTAAAAGGAGTATAAAACTATTATTCCATAACATTTTATTTGCTTTTTCCTGATGTTATTTGGTATGGTTGAAATGTTCAAAATGCTGATATTAAATGGGAAAAGTAAAAAATGCAGAGGCTCCTAGTTGCCAAATGAGCAGAGTAAGTGTGTTAAAAATCAGCAAGCAGTCAAAGTGATTTCCCCAGTAGTTCTGTTGTTACTGCTAGTTGTGCCTTCATCTCATTTTACATGGGGAATATAATAATAGTCTCTCCTCAAACAGTTTCACACAATGAGAACTCACCAGATCCAATTTTCACTGGTCCATTGTGTTGAATGAAGATGGTATCACAGTTGAGGTCCCCATGAATTATGGGTGGAGAACAGGAATGCAAGTAGCTGGAGAATAAAAAGGTAAGAATTGAAAATGACTGTACACTGGAGACCAAAACTGTGGTAACAGGGTCTGTCCATGCCAAGTGGTCCTATAATTTTAGCCAGAAATTTTCCTAAGCATGCAAATATTACTTTCGCTACAGAAGTTCATAATCTCTTTTCCCAAAAGACATGAATGAAAGAGAATATTACATTGGAAAATGAAAGAATTAGTCATGATTATGATATATTCATACCAATCTCATGATACTGAAAAATGTGATGAAAATGCAAATTTGGAGAGACTGAATTAGACTACTGGAACAGATGCCAGCATGGGCTTTCCATGCATGCTGATAATTTCAAATCAGCTCAGGTGTGAAGAGTAAATGTCAAACATTTGAATGATATCTTTAAAATAAAATAAATATATATGTACAGACTTCTCGTTTCAAAATACACTTTCAGAACATGTCACATCCAACACTTTCCTGTCACATCTGACATCATCACAAAATAAGCTTACATTCTGTTTCAAGTGTTGACATCTTGGGGTGACTAACACTAATTTCAAGCATTCATTCAATCTATAGAATGAACATGAAACTAAATTATTAGGATCTGCTCGATGACAGATATGTGAACATTAGTACAAGTTACTTTAACTTGAGGGTCACGAAATGTCACATCTGACACTTTTCTTTGTACAGAGGTACACCTCTAATGTAAGAGAGAGAGTAAAACTTAGGATTATGGAATATTCAGTCACCACCCAAAGCAAATTGTTACAGCCTTTATATGCTAATTCATCATCCATAACATAGTTAAATACATTTTGTATACTAAAAATATTACTCTGGATGTCACATCTGACATCGTGGACAGACCCAACACTTGACAAACTCTCACATATTTGCATATATCTCAAATACAGCACTCCTAGTTACAGATATCATGGAAAGTATACATTTCCAAAAGCATTTAGCCATACATGCTAAGATACTATCTTTAAAATAAAATTAAAATATTACCTGGAATCTATTTGGTTTCCAAAGACAATCCACTTGATATATATATTTTTAAATATGTGATTTAAATAAAGATTTAATTGAAAGCTCATAAATTCACATATAAGGAGTGTTCTCTCCAATAACTAGCCCTTTCTTTTCCTTATATCTTACATAGGTAAATTTTATGTTACTTCCTTATATCTACTTGTAATTTGAGTTTCTTTGCCAGAAGGGCAAACAAACTTGCTAGACACTTCCATGCTCAATGATGCAAGTAAACCTGATAGCAATAAATGTATTATTAACTTGCACATCCAACACTCACTGATTTTAAATAAAGCAGTGCAAATTCAGAAATTTTATACAATTTTCATTGTGAAGTCACATTAATTCCAGTTATTTGAGATCAATCAAAAAACTTTAGGTTAGCAGCATTAAATAAATGTTTCCTTTTCCTTAAAGATCCCTGGACTATTTCATACCTATCTATTCAATTTAAGCATATTTGAGATTGTTTTCATTGTTACATCCTGTGAATCCCTGCATAACTATTCAAAATGCCCAATGCTTCTTCACCCACCACAAAAAACAACACAAGGTGCACTATATCAAAAGAAAAAACTGGGGGAAATTGTACCTATTGGGATTTATCACAATATATTCTTCCATTATAAAGAACCCCCTATGGAAACCAGCAACCAATTTAAAGTTATTTGAAAGGAGAGCAAGTAGGGGGATTGTTAGCTTCCCTTTGAGAATTCCCTCTTGGAATTTTTCCTTAATTACTAATTTTTGCAACATTGTAACACAGCTGTAACAACCATAAAGGTAAAAAAAAAAAAAGGAAAAAGTGCCCCCAAATGAGCCTCCTAGAGATTTCCTCCCAAGTAGGACATGCCTGGAATTAGTGTTTGTCACATACTCATTCACCATCCTTTATACATATATTAGACATCCTCATAATTTCTTAGCAATTAGTTTGCACCACTAGTTAGGCCTACCTACATCATAAGTACCAATGTGGTATTACCAGAATATCGGAAGCCAATGTTCAAATATCCAATCCTGAATATTAGAAAAATTCCTGAGAAAATCTAGTAAAATGGCATCACTAGAAAGAAATTAATGGTTTAATCTTCAAGAAAATGAAGTAACTTTCATTCACTCACTTACTACACTTTTCATGGATGGTGTCATTTCATTCTGGAAGAATAATCCAGTCTTTCAAGAGGCCCTGAGCAACCCAACTCCATTCAAACTTATAGAATCATGAATGGACAGTGCACAATGTACACAACAGCAAATAATGACAAAGTAATCATAGCACTTAAATTGTATGATACAAAGAACCATATTCACTCTCCTTGTCCCCTTCTTGCATTAGTGGATTGTCAATTTGCCAATTGCCAATAGTCACTGACAACTTGTATTTATGGATGTACATATGCATGCACACACACATGTACACTCTCTCTCAATCTCTACAAAGGCAAGACCCAGCTTTCACGATTGGGTGGAAAGACAAGTCTACCTCAAAGCTGAAAGAATCTGGATGCACCATCTCTTCCATGCCTGGAGTGGAAGCTTCTTGACATTTCTCTTGGTCCGTTTCAAGAATTGCTTCAAGGATCCTGAAGACATGTATTCTGTCACGAAAACCACCTGAAATGTGACAATACATCAACCTGAACACACAGGTTACCTAGGTCTCATACTAAGATGCTACACAGATTATAGTAAGATTAGGTTTTGAACTGAAAAGCCCAAGGCAATATGGATCAGTGTGAGAGAATGAGAGTGTCCCAAAATGCTTTGTGTCTTTTAATTCTATAAAACATGCAGGACAATGCTGAACTCACACCTTAGAAATTTCTGTCTTCCATCTAGAAACTCACTCTTGGTTTTTCGTTGACATGATCTATCCAATACTTATGGAATTTGATGATGTTTGGATGCTCCAGCTGTGTTAGATTATTGAACACTTGTCGTATCTTTTCCTCCTGGGACTTGAAATCCTTTCGTTCTGAAAACTTGACTTCATTCCAGACAACCTCTACACCTTCTTCAGTATCCATAGCCAAATATGCTGAATCCATACCAGGAACATCTCTTTGCTGCACCTGTAGTCATGAAGAACAAGAAAAAAATTAAGCCAAGTTTTGGCAGTCTGATGCAACAAAAACCAAACTACAATAACCTTTGTATTCTTCCCCATCACATAAATAGGTTCACAAAAAAAAATTAATGGGGTAAGCTTTAAATTGCAATAACTGCAGAATAGCAGAATGGAATTGCTTCATATTTTGCTTGGTAGTTAGTTCCTGATAGCTTGGGGCTTCATTAACTAATGGTATTGAGTCCACCACCACAGGTGTGACAAGTTGCATAGTCCTCTTGACATCCTGACTCTGTTCCCTTGAACCTATGTATCAGAGCTTTCATAGCCTGTGGCTTCTAGAGACCATTGCAAAACTCCCATTTCTGTGCAGGAGGGTCACGAGGAGCTGTAGCAGATTGTCATGTCCAATAGCTGAAAATGAATGCAAGGAATTGTGTTGTGGTCAGAAAAACCATGGTGTTTGTTGCCTGGCTGAGGCAGCATGTGAAGCAAGTAAAAGACTTGATGCTTGATGCCATGACCATGGCACAATGTGCTGCGTTGGTTCACTGTTACTCTGGACACGGACAATCCAAAATAGCTGCCAAATGGGCCTCTGAAATAAAATGGGGTGGTGCTATGATCCCTGCAGACTAGAGCAAAAGCAAAAGCTCTGATTCAGAAGTTCAAGGGAACAGAGGGTATTAGGAAGATCGAGAGGCCCTGGGGACTGTCACACCCATGAACATGGATCTAACACCACCTGAACATGAATCTGCCCCCCCCCCCTTGCTGTCAAGTTCTACCATGGAAAAGATAAGGTGATTTCCTTCTGCCAACGTGCAGTTATTGCACTTTATAGTTATTCTATAACCCTCTGCATGAAACCCATTACCTTCATGCAATTGAAATTGGAAGATTCCAACAATTTGACAATTTGACATACCAAAAGCTAGCCTTCAGACTTAAGATGACACATACTGACAAAATCAAATTAACAAAATAGATACTGCAACTTCCATTCTGCAACTGAGTGTTAATTTTCTCAAATAATCGACAAAGACTACAGATGAATTAGAGATAAACTTTTTTTTGCCATTTTAGAGTTACATGACACTTTGATAGACTTTACTTGGCATGGCATCAATCTAACTGTCTATAATGATATGTCACTAACCTCTTCTCTTCTTTTCAGATATCTTCCACATGGACTTTCTTCCATGACATCATCTTCATCTGAATCATCTCCACTCACAGTACCAGGTGACTTATCACATGGGGGGGAGTTTCCATGACTTTTGGCCATTTCATAAATTTCAAGCAACAGTTCACTAAGTCCTACAATAGGACTAGACCTAGAAAGAGAATTTTAAAGTTCTTTTAAGAATTCCAAGAACTACAGTCAGTCTAATGCACTTCATTTCAACTATATCACCACTAAGGATTCAGGCTTAATTAATTCTCTTGTACTGTCTTTCCAAGCCTCCACACCAACAGAATTTAGTTAGGCCTAAAGATGGTTATAGGCTAGCGCTTCATCACTCTCTTTTTGGGTAAAAATGAAGGAAGCAGTATTAGGGATCAAATCTGAAAAACGAAGAAAACAAAACTTTGGGATACACGAATTGTCTATGAAGACATAAGGCATTACTGTGACATGCATTCCCAGATAAGAAAATCTTACTAAGACCTCACTTTTCCTCATGCACTACTCAAAACAATAGGTAATCAAGAACACATGCCAATACTGGAAGCATGCACCTTTGAGTAGTGGGAGGGGAGCAATGAGCTCTGGAAATGAGCCTCCATTGCCCTTAATCCTTGGGCCTCTGATGCAACATGCAATGTTGAACAACATGCAGAGAAATGGCTTGCAGTCCATGAGCTGCTAACCTTGGGACACAGAAGGAAGGCAGGAAAATGGGCTGGGTCCAGGATATGAAAGAAGCCAGGGATTAGGATAATTCTAAGGGAATTATCTTGGCAGATGAGAAAAGCTTGTCAAGACCTAAATGTTCCCATGATTTGTGGGGAACTCTACATAAGCCATTCTCAAACAAGCTGATGATAACCATATCTTTGATGGGAAAAAAAAAAAAAACACTTTCTAAAATATAAACACTGTCATAAGTACTAGCTCTACAACAGAGCAATGAACAGAGTGTGAGACAATTGAAGTCTCAATTTTCCTTAAACTTCAAGAATTTCCTCCCTCACAGGAAGGGATGGTATTCTCTTCAATGTCTTATATCTTTGCAAGTAATTCTTGCATTCTGAAATCTTGTTTTCTTCGTTTTTCAGGTGTCATCAAACACAATTCTTATTTTGCTTTATACTATGAACTTGTGAAAATTCTCATGAGAGAAAGTACAATTTTTCAACTTTAATTTATTTTTCAGCACAGGCAACATTCTTTCAGACAAGAGTTCAGTGACTCAACTAAGTTAATGCCTACTAATACTAATAGGCCTATTAATTAATATAATAAAGAAAGTTTATTCACGAGAACAAGGCGTGTCGGTCCAAATTCAAGGTTAAATAGTCAAGGCCTAACTCTAGCTCTACAGCGGAATTATTGGCAAGTTTACATATATGTGGATATACATGCAAGAAAGTTACTCACTGTAGAGACATTAAATGTCTACGCACATTAGCATTAAAATAGCGAATAATTCTATTTTTTGTCGGTCGCGTAAGGGACCTATATGCCATTTGCGTAACTTTCATGCGAGTATAGACGCACGTGTTAAACCCCCACTATAGGTCTAGCTCAGGATTTCCGAAAGCTTGGGCTAGACTCAATATTAAGCCAAATAATGGGGTTAAGAGACCGTGCCTAAATATTTCACCTGGAAACCCAAACGAGGCAAAAATACTTGTCTCTGCTGGGATGGTTGCAACCGCGAAACCCAAAAAAGAAGTAATCATTCTGAGAGTTCCGACAAGAACTAGACCCTCTCATTCAGGGTAAGGCCTATTCTATTGCTAGTCCAAGAAAATTTTCTCCGTATCTGGCACAGACGTAGATGTTAGGAGGGTTCTTGCATGAACCGGATGGGCTACATAAATAAAAACAAGAAAACCCACGGCCTGACACCTCCATGTCTACGAGTGCGCCATACATTTGCTACGTGACGTCATCAGGTTCGTCTGTTTCTCTGCTGGTTCCACCCCCAATCTACCATGCAACGCCGTGATGAGACTCAGCATTAATGCATCATGCAACAGATTCTGACAACTGCATCTTACAGTGTTTTTCACTTCAGTTAGACACTTTTTCACTTGACTTCGACACTCAGGCATGAGGAACGTCCCAAGCACATGTGTTTGAGTCAATGGAAATTTTTTATGGATGCTTCTCACGCGTGGCCGGTTTACTTTCAGATGAATATGGATAGGGGTTTGAATCTTGGTTACATGGTCATCGAACCCGATGACCAAGTATCATAGCTGTCGCATTCATCTATTGACATATTGGATGTCCTCGACAAATCAACGACTACGGAGAGACTCCTTCAGCGACAAGAATAGGTGAAATCAGAAGTCAGGTTGTGTGCATACGGTGGATGAGGCAGCACGGTGTAACCAAGCTATCCAATAGGAATACTGCTCAGCCTGACACGAGCCATACGTCCGCAGTGTCCATCCAGCAGCTTTAATTGAACGTTCTGTCTCGTTCTCTGCATTCTTCCGACCTAGATTTTGGTTCCACCTGTTCCCATCGCTGAAGATTCTCCGTGGTCGTCGGCTTCCCGGTCGCGCCGAAATCATCCTGTTTCTCAACTGCCCTCACAATGCTTGCGAGTTCGACGCATGGGTGTGTTAATGGGAGAAGTGTGTGGCCAAGAACTGGAATTACGTGGAGAAATAAGGCATATGTCCTATCACGTTCTACATGGTGTTCCTTTTCTGTCATGGTTTTTCTCATGACTTTTGCTTCCCCCCCCCCCTTTGTGCCATAACAATGAAAGAGCGACAACGGACTGCTCGAAACTTATATTCAAACAAGCCATCCTGAAGCATCGAAAACATATACAGTCGACTCCACTAATGAGAATACCGCTTGATAGAATACCATTGCGTAGTCCCGGTTTTTTTTTTTTAACCATAAGATGAATTATGAAAAACATCGCTAAAAGGATTACAATTATTAGTACTGTATAACCTGCTTAAAGGAATAAACTTTTTTGAAAAAAAAAAGGGGGGGGGGGAATTATTAGCTCAAATAATTTTCAATATGCCCTTTCCGCGTTCTCGTCCAATCTCCTCAGCTCCACCCTCGCCCCATGGAACCAAGGTCATAAGAAGCTACCACTTCACTTTTTCCATGAACCAAGGAAGGGAGCAGGGGAGAATACAAGCACACCCTATCCTAGAGATAGGAATGTATCAGGAATGTAAACATAAATATAGGCTGGAGATGCAAAGTCAGGTAAATAAGCCTGCCTTTTTCAGATGAAAGTGAAAGCAAGTTCACTTGGACAATAAACTGAGTCTATAATCAACCGACCTGCACATTCTGATTTCACCAAGAGGTAAAGGAAAGAACTCAGCTTGGCCTAAATGCTAGCATTCAAGTACTGAACGCCGGTAATCGTCTACGACTCTACGGTGTGACCCATCTCAGCCTGACGTGTGATCCACATCTAAAAATAAATATGTAGTTGGCTAAACTGCAGTTTACTTAAACATCGGGTACATCAAGGAGGTACCGCTGGGTTCTGGAAAACGCCTTGTACCTGTAACCAAGCGACAGCACTCTCCTCACTCATGAATGTATAAAACTCACGAGCAAGCACAGTCTGTTCACAAGAACATGAACAACCTGTCAACTTATGTTACCATGAATGAAATATTCCGATATATTCAAATAAAAAAGGAAATCAATATGTAATTACTCCAGTGCCTGCACAGAAACAGGCGAAGCAAATCGCAACAAGGGAGAAGGGTGTGGACAGCAGCATCTTCGCAATGATCAGCCAATTAGCGACGAGCTGTAGAGGCCCAATCGGTGTTGAGAGCGTGGGCACAGCTGTCCACGCAGCAGCTCGGTATTTCTTGATTCACACGATATACTACAAATACTGTGTATTTTGCAGTCGGTCACACCGTAGACAATTATTCTGAACCGCCCATCAGAACGAAACGAATAAAGGAGAATAAAGCAGCAACATCGCGAAGAACGCGCAAGGAAAGCACGGATATAAATTGATAAGCACATAAAAAATTGAGTTGGTACAGAAAAAACAGAAAAATACAAATGCACAAAAATCGAGACGAAATTGGATCTAGTATATATACAAGTGCGCATAAAGATTAGAGCATTTTAAATGAGAAATGCGCTATATTAAATAATTGCATTGTATTAAATAATTTAAAGAAATTGCCTTTTCGAAGTGCAGCACGATTGTTTCAGTTTTTAGAATACTCTGGATTATCGAATAAAGTTTGCTGGGTCGAGGAGTAATCAATTATGTGTATTAGACCCTACTTGCCAGTGCAACTAACACTTACAAGTCACTGAATTCGCTGACAGGAGCGCCTTCTAAGACCTAAGAAGGATGGACGGAAACAAAATTTCAAGTGAAAGATATAACCAATGAGGAGACAGAATTCTCCCTTAGCAGAACTCCATTGGTATTCTTAATCCAGATATGCCTGGTTTGTATATGGAGGCGCATCTCTGCACGCCGTCCTACATATAGAACATCAGGCATGTCTGGGTTAAGCTCTACCTTACTGCCTGGGGTATTCAAAAAGAGAAAAAAAACAGCCAGCAGCATTGCTGGAGCAAAGGATAGTCAATCTTGATTAAAACGACAGAGATTGCCTGGTTCCGGCAGAGAGCTCACACCATCTTGTCTTCCATTTAAAGATGCTTGCATTAGATTGAAAATAAAAGTTCAATCTAGATCCTCCCACACCAAATGCCAACAGAGATGGCTAAACCCTGGCAAACTAAACCAAATCAAAGAAAGGAATAACTTTCACAGGTAGACAGCCAGCTCTACTCCATGAACCACTGGGATATTTACCAAATCTAGTGTATCTACTATAAAAGGGTAAAAACCTCCATAACCACGGCCAAATAGGTCTTTATCCAAACAAAGATAACTTCTGCAGGCAAAGTTTCCATAAATATTCAGCCTACTGTAACCCCTTCACCAAATTTCATATAAAAAATTCTATTTATTTCACAGAAAAAGTGAATACATACTCCATCAGAACACATACAGTTTTTGGTACAAATATCAAGAGTGTATGGTAATATAATATCAGAAACCCTTCCAAGAGAAGCCAAAATCCAAGTGAAACCTAGCAAAGGCTTGGGAAGGACTGGTGGGCATGACACACCGTTGTTGG